TTCGCCTTTAGGATCGGCAGTCGACTCTTATTTGCCTTATTCTTTGTTTGCTTTGATTTGATATGTCATTTCAGTTCCTGAAGTAATAAACAGTACATATGAAATGAACAGATAATAAATTATTGCAGAATGTCGATCCACATTTCTCGATTATAAAGTTTTATAATAATTTTGATTATAAATTTTTTTCGTGCAGTTTTAAGTAAATACGTTATCCATTCAGATATATCAATATCTCTTTGTATGTTTTAGATAAATTTTCTTTCTTAATATACTTTCTCGCGAACCATTTTAATTTCATCTGTCGTGTATGCGTTGCGATTTGCAAGACGACAATGACGATTACGCATTCGGGGTTAAAACGTGGACGGTAAGCTGCTCCGGAGAAACTCCGCCACTCCCCGGATGATTCGTTTCTTCGTTCATACGCTTAAGTGGATAATGGAGAAGAGCAGTTGTTCGCGGTGTTATAATGGCAATTATTACAGGCTTGCGACATAATGCAAAATCTTTGCGGCATTCTGCGCGAGATATAAGCGTCAATAATTATTGCGTTAGTCTCGCGACCAGCTCGAATATTATCTTACATTATCGGATAATTGTCGGTCTCCATGGAGTCGCGCATCGATCATTATGCGAAATTCCACGCGAATTCTTTCGCTGACGAAACATCTTCGCCCTGCTCTGACTTTCTAACGTATGGATCGTATGGTCCGCTATAATTAGTCGAGCACGACGAGATCGCCGGGTCGGTGCGTTCATCAAATTATCTGTTAGGCGATGCGATCCACAGCGTCCCACAGCGTGATATTTGAATCGCGCCCCATCCACGCAAAACGCATCCCGCGAGAGCGACGGCCGACCTCGGAATTGAAAACCCGCGATTATCCTTACGCCATTCCGTTGACCCTCGCTTCCCGGCTAATTGAGTCCGCCATTCAATTCAGTAGTCGTCACCTTGCAAATATTCCGGTAGTACGTCGGCCATTCATAGCTCCGTATAATCACCGATTGTCTCGCATTGCTCTGCAACCGCGACTCCCCGCGAACAACTCGCGGAACGTAGCATTCGAGATAATCGATCGGGCGTGGCCGTGGCGAGGTCGCAGGGCCATTCGGGTCAAGCCGCCCGATGACTCCGCAGGCGCTACTTAAGGCGACCGACCCTGGTCTCCAGGAAAACCGTGAACCCTCCGGCGCGCAGGACGGATGGCTGCCAGCCGACCGGCCAAGGGAAGGATACCTAATTGGCTTTGATGTTAATCGTACGCGCCACTCGGCTGCGCAGTTCGCAATAGCACATTGTGCAATCGAACAATTACAATCGACCTACCTGCCTACCTCTCGAGCTGCCTGCCTGCCTGCCTGTCTACCTACGCGTTTACCTTCCCTACCCATCCTCAGTGCCCTCAAGCTCGCACCTAACTCGGGCCCCTCCCGTGACACCTGTCTCTGAGACGCGGTGACTCGGCCAGGCTCCACCTAGCAGCTCGAAGGTGGCGTTAACACTTTCCTCCGACTGGTTTTTGTCCGCGAGTGTGCCGAGAAACTCGATGGGAAAGCGGGTGCCATGGGAATATGCTAATCGCAGGGACGATTGCCGTTCCGATTCGACGAACGATTTAATGAAATTTACAGATCTTTGCAAATCTTGCGAAAGAAGACGTGCTTTCGGCAATCGTTCCTTCTCGACAAAACGCCGAAATTCTGATATATCCCAGGGGAAATCATTCTTTTCAAATTTCTTTTAAAAATTTCTTTTGAATGAATTTATTAATGCGATATTGTTCTTCTATTTGAGAAGGGAATCATACTATCAGGGTCTTCACTTAACCTCTGCAAAAATGAGTTTATTAAAGTCAGAAGAAACTGATTTCATTTCAGGATGATATAAATATCATATCTGTCAATCCACATGACATTTCTTTTTTATTAGTTGCGGAATTTTGTACTGAATATTTAACCATAGTATATGCAAAAAATTGTATAGTAAAAATTATTGTAGAATTTTAGTCGAGGAATAGATCGATATTTTGCAATAATTACTATATTTTCATTTCATATGTATTACTTATTACAGAAATTGAAATTATTTTAGGAACTGAGATGTACTATTAAAAATTTTTTATATTTCTAGCAAGATTTATTGTTCCTTAGCAAAATATATTTTACTAACAGCTACTCTCTCTAGAAACATAAAATAAAATTTAAAAGAATTTATATAGAAAAATATTATAGAATATATATTATATATAGAAAAAAAACTACAATGTTCTCTTTATATTTATTAAATTCCTATCTCAACAAGATATGAATAAAAAAATTCAACACATCAAACATACACGTATTCCTACAAAGGTTGAATTATTAAGATCATTAAAATATCGCGGATTAAATTATTAAAATCATTACAATATCACTGAGATATCGCGAGTATCATGAAGATGTTTAAAAATCACAGACGATAACTTCCCACAAAATTTTCATTCTAAAAAATTTAATTATTAGCCATGAGAATTACTCGTTTATTTTTATTTTAATAAAGTCTGCTCTATTTCCGTTTTCCCATTGTTGAAAATTATACTAAAAAACAATCGGCTTTTGCAGCTACGACACGGAGAACGGCATCTCCGTGGCGGAGGCAGGTCAGCCGAAGAACATCGGGCCGAACCAGATCGAGGCAGTCAGAGGTCAGTTCAGTTACACTGCCCCGGACGGTACGCCGATCCAGGTTGTTTACACGGCTGACGAGAATGGCTTCTTGGCGAGCGGCGCCCATCTACCGACACCGCCGCCGATACCGGTAGCGATACAACGCGCCTTGGCACACAACGCGGCTCACCCCGAGGAGGAGAGAGACGATCCCTACAGAAGATACTAGACTCCAAGTTTGCGCTAGAACTGCCCGACGCTTCGACGTATCGACGTGGAAGGACGCGGCCATCCCGTCGGCGTTGACGGTCGTCTTGACTGTCCGGATATTAATACGGATATCCCTCGTCTTTGGGGGACTTTTCAAGCGCGGATGATGGCAAACCCGACCTCGTCGGCGACCGATTACAGGAGCAAACGTCAAAGCTTGCCCGCGGTGGAGGCGTGAGATTATTATTCTCGCGTTTCTATCGCGCGTCGCCGACGAAGCGCTTCCGGAGATCGACGATCGCGCTCGTCGATGGAGCAGCGACCGTTCCATGAGAAATTCGTCGAGGAGTTCTAGTGTTCGCCTCTCATGCGAGGAAGACCAGGCACGATCGGGCGAGACGACGTGAGATCGACCGGTGCGAGCGAAGGGGAAAGATACAAATCGCGATTGTTGAAATTTTCACAGACAAACGCGCGAGCTGTGAAGAGATTCACGCGGCACTACTCTCTCAAAGTGAATCAGTGAAAAATATTTCTGGTTGAGGGTCGATTTTTCCAACTTCTTGATTGAGTACTTACCAAGAGGTTGAAAATATCTTAACCAGGTGCTAAATGCTAAAAAGCTGACTAATATAGTTGATCATTGATCATAGAATCATACGTTTATCTTTGCTTTCTCCTCAAATAAGATAAAAGCAGACATGTAGTTTAACTGTTAGTTAGCTTAAGAAATTGGAAAAATCAGTCCTGAATTGGTAAAAGAAGCATTTCATCGATAATCAGTGAATAATCGCTGATTTTCAGTGGAAATACCTTTATTGCTTCATCTTATGTCTCACTGATTTTGACTAGTGGAAGTAAGATCTCACTGTGGAATCTGTAGACTATAAATTCGTTGTACACTGTGTCAAATTCAACTTTCCGCGTTTGTGGCAATCACCATACGATTCGAGGCATTAACACCGTGCTCGCAAATTGTACCAATATTTGAGATTCTTCCAGCGAGATATTACTGATTGCAGTGCTACACTTTTAAATGAACCACCAGTTATAGCATTTCTGTGAGGAACAGCATTAATTATATTTCAGAGAGTATATATAAGGAGAACCCGTGTTCTCTTCGTCTCAAACCTAACCTAACGTATTGGCGCAATACGGAGATCGTCGATCAATAATGCGGTATTCATGCCGCGCTGATATTTGAAGAAATTGCGATTGAGGCGCGACACACACGAGGCGGTCGTAAACGCGTTCCGAACATGCCTACAATTTATAAATACGACTCGGGACGAAATAAAATGCGCGTCGTGATAGAATTATTGTGCATTGCATACAGCCGTGTTCGCGCGTGCACAGCGGCGTGTTCGGTGAAGTTCAGCGTTATTATATAATACGACATGATAGCATCATCTTAATTATGAATTACGCAAAACCGCTTTGCCGCGCGCTCGAGAAGGATACTTCGATATATCGCGGCACGGTTGTTCAGAACGATGCAATTTGCGGTTTCAGTTTTTCCCTCAGCCGCGACGATGACGGTTTCGACTTCGACTATGAAACGTACTTCTAATCAATTCTCATTACGTCGACTCGTGGTAAAAGAGAAGGAGGAGAAGAAGGAAAATGGGGAAATAATTGCGTTCGAGTGATTAAGGCGTGCGCGCGTAATTAAACGGAAACGACGTTACCCGCGCTCGTCCTTGGCGATTTCACTCGTCGCCCGGACGTGCCTTAACCCTAAACGGAACGAAACACTCGACTCACGTAAAACCGCGAAACTGACAGAGCCCGCGTGGGTTAGAAAAAAAGAAAAGAGGGAAGATGATCGACTTCACGTTTCCGATGGTGAAGCGAACAAAGTGCCAGAAAAATTCATCCTATATTCACTCTGTACTATTAACCGTACTGTTCTCTCGTTACACTTAGATTAAGGGAAACGATTCTTATTCTGTACGCGATTTTAAGGCGAAACGACGACTCTTCAAATACAACGAATTAAATATAACCAAGAAAATATGATCTTATCCTTAGCGGCATCCTTTTGTACATGGCCTCAAGAGGATTCCTCTAAAATCATATGAAGGAAAATATTCCAAGTGCAATGTGCTTGAAGTTAGAGGAATTTTCATCTTTACGAATACAAGTCTTGCTTAGCTTTGCGTTAATATAATTCTCTTAATTCAATATATTCCTCAAATACTGATTCAAAAGAAAAACAAGTTAAAATAATATCTAGTAGATTTCTTATTAATAGTTTACCTCGTTATAAGAACAATATTTTTTCGGTTTTCACTTAATAAGTTCTCACTTAAAATTACAGAAAACAGAGCACCTTGCAACTGGAGTTCTCTTGCTTTTTGGAATGTTAGAATATTTTCCCTTTGGTGTTTTTGGAGGAACCCTCTATATGTATAAGTGGATTTCGCTAAGAATGAGATTATAGTTCTTTGGGTGAAGGAAGGATCTGTCAGGATTCCGTTGCGCTGTTTAGGGTTAACCGACTAACCGACGACATTCCCTCGAAGATCCGCCACGAAGTGTTAACGCGCGCTTCGCTTTACCGATCCTAACACGAAGAGACTATCTATCTACTGACGCGATCGAGGTCCTGCGTGTCCTGCGCGACCGCACCGTCTCGCGCTTCCACTTTCTCCGCACTTGGCGGGCGAAAAGTTGACGGAGGTGATGGGAACGAGCAGGAGGCTGGCGCGGCGCACGGATGCCTGGGCGACAATATGTCATGTATCACATTGTGCTCTATTGTACTTATCATGCTATGGCTACCTTCATTAAATCGTTCAATTGCGCATGCGTATTCGCACACATGTATTCTCCACACCATATACATTATCACAACTGCGTATCTATCAATATTATTATTGATATTCAGCACGCGCGACGCTCGGCCGTCAATTAAGGACTCGTTCGTGTGTCCCGCGTTCGTGATGATCTCTTTTAACGCGAACGAGCCGCGAAAGCGCGCGCGATCGTCGGCAATACATTATTTTGGTAGTATATACGTAAGACCGACAACTCTATTTAGCAATAATAACACCGAGCTACGATGAGTTATAACGGCGATTAATTCAGCCGCTATTCGTTTTATTATCGCTCCCCGCCGCGATAAATGTTAAAATCTCCGCGCGCACCACGTCTTTTGTGAATGGTGCGTTACTTGCAGCGCATCGCGGAAAGTGCAATTGAGCGCATCTCGTGCGACTGCAGTTGGGATGAGTTACAGGTCGCCGCGCAGCCGACAGATCGGCCGAGCATTTTTCCGGATTGCACGCGAGAACCTCGAAGTCACCCGGTGGCTTGTAGTGATTTGTTTGCATAAGGACGCCGCGCGACCTAGTCGCATTACATGGACCGATTGCTTAATCCGTTACATCAGAATTTAGCGGAGAGTGTGTGTGTGTAGACGGGGCGATCTGTTAGACTGTTTCGGAATTCATTTCGACGAATGCGCCTTTCTCTCTTTCTCGACTTTACTGAGAGAGCTGTCGATTGGAACTGAAAGAGAAAGAAAGAGAGAGAGAGAGAGAGAGAGAGAGAGAGATTCTCGAAACTGCGCAACACTTGCCAGCCCATCTACTTGCACTCGTTTTGAGGCGCGCGCGAGTCTTTTTCGGCTGCGCTGATCATTTTAGCCGACACGCGATGCCGACCGATCGCGTGAGGGTCTCGGCTGGTCTTTATGAGCCTACTCTGCGAATTGCGTCTCTGAGCAGATGCGCGAGTCAAAGCGGTCAGCGGAATAAGTTTGAGCCACTTTCACGAGAGCAACGAGTGTCATTATGAGAGGTAACTCATAATGACACTCATTCGCGCGTTAACGATTGACGTTCAAACGCGGGCCGACTTCGCGATATTACTCGTCTGAAAATGTATATTTGATATGTTAAGTACTTGATATATTAAGATATATCAAGAGTTTGTATACGCTTCGATTGCTATAGTTTTCGCGATATTAAATTCGCACGATAATCGGATCGCAGCTGAGTCACGCGAAGGTATCTTTCAAATGGCTTCCCGCTGTGAAGAATCCTGAGCTATCATGTCTGCACTGTTGGAAGTGTCGTACGTATATTTTATTACTAGACACTATGATAATCGAGAACAAAACGAGTATCATTATGAGGTAGTAGCTCATTTATACATTAACAATTGACTCGTTAAACACTGATTGATTTCGCAACGTTATCATATCACCTAAAAAAAATACCATTTTCAGTGAAATCCTGTCAAATATGACCTCAAGAAGATTCTTCTAAAACTAAAAGGAAAATATTCCAAGCACAATATTTCTAATGTTAGAAGAATTTCGTTTGTTATTTACAGTACAGGTCTTGTTCTTAAGAAAAATTTTTTCAGTAAGAGGGCGCTCCACTTCAAGTGTAGATATTCTTGATTCAAAAGAAAAAAAATTAAGGTAGTATCTACTACACTGAGAGAAAAAATAAGAAATAAAAGATATTTGTTCAGTGAATGCTAATATATATAACAAATATTTACTTATATCAATATATAAAATATCTTCTAAGTAAAAAAATATATATTTTCTTAAAATTTTTCAAATAAGAAAACATACGTTTTCTTTAAGTCTTTGTTTTTCATGAAAGTAATTGTCTATTTTATTTAAATAAAGGTATTTAGATTTATTATTAATATTATAATATTAAACATATTATTAGTAACCACTGGATAAAAAAAAATTTTTTTCTCAATGTAGATTTCCGATTTAATAGTTCACTTCATTAAAAGAGAAATATTCTTTCGAAAGAAGCTTTCGCCTGGAATATAAGATCACAGGAAATAGTATCTTGCAATTAGTGTTCTCCTTTTGGTTATTGGAATATTTTCCTTTTGGTTTTGGAAGAATTCTCTCAAGACCAAATAATAAAAGGATTTTGGTAAGTATGAAGTACTTTCTCAGATGCTGAGAATGTATATTTCTATTAAGATATCGAAAGCTTGTACACGCAGGAATGATTACGAAAACCTCTCGATATTAGATGATTAAATTCGTAATCCAATCGTAGCTGAATTGCGCGCGAAGGTATCTTTCGAACGGCTTCCCGCTGTGAGGAATTCTGCGCTATTGGAACTATCGTAGCATATTTTATTGTCACAGACACGGTAATAATCCTTTATTACTCGCGCAGGTGTCGCGTTTTTCCTCTCATTTGATTATCGCGATCGTGCATATTCGTTTATCGACTGTCGGACTTTCGCGATCATCCCGACTTTAACACGCATATCGTGCTAAAGGACGCTGGTCCAGCAATCGTTAATTAAAATCTGATCCCTCTCCGTGGACGTTCGCGACCGGTAAACGGTCGTTTAACGTGTTCGCGACAAGATTACGTCCATGGCGGGACTGTGGACGCGCGCGAGCGAGCTTGGACGCAAAATTTTAGGCGGACCGGCCGTGGAAATGCCACCTGGATTAATGTTAATGGTAATCGTAATATCATGTTAAAGGTGAGTCAGTGAAAGCAAATCATCGGTCTCCTGTCCGTTGCACAACGCGCGAGCGAGCGAACGACCGCGTGAGTGAGCGAACGAACGAACAAGCGCATCTCTCGAGGCATCTCCGTTTATTCGTGAGATAGAAATGACGGGGCATTGAATTTAGCGGCTCTCCGGAACTTTTTATGGCCCGATAAGGGCTCGAGATACGAGACAAGTCTCTCGTAATTCGCGAATCCTCCGTGATTCCTCAGCTGTTCCCTCAGTAAAACCTGAACTTCGTCGATGTTTAGCCATAGAGATAGCAAATTTGTACCTAACGTCACTAGTAGTCAGTAATGTAACGCTCACTTCTTCTAGTGGCTGAATAAACAAGTTAGTTGATGGTTAAACAGACGGAATTACAGTTATGAGATGAAAAAACATAAATAGTCGTGCTGGCTAGCAATGTAACGCTCGCCTCTGCCTTTTCGAGATTTTTATGAAGTTAACGTATCCTTAATTTTGATTTGTTACCTAATCTTTTGAAATGCTAGTGTATGGCGATATAATAGTTAAATTATATATTTTAGAATCGACAGAGCGCGCAATATCTGCTCTGTCATATTTGATGCGTAATGATTAGACAACGGCTAGATCATAAGGCCGACTCTATATTTCAATGAATGATCAGCTAGTAACGAGCTAGAAAATTGCATCTAGCTTGTACTAGTTAGATGCTAGTTTTTTTACTCAGGCCGGTTGGTTACATTTCTATTCGGATCATCGAATCTCCCGCCCCGGCGCGATAATCGTCGACAATTAATTAATTAAGGAGAAGCCCGCGCGAATACGTAATATGTATTCGAATCTCGTTTTGTCGCGCGCTCACAATATGTGCGCGACGCTCGTGATATAAATCGCGGGAAGACGATTACATTCGCAAGTCGGGCAGTTGAATGGAAAGGTCAGGCCCCGCGGCGCTTTCGTTTCTGAAATTAATTGGCGCTAATTGAAATACCGGTTGAAATCGAGATGATCGCGCGGTCCGCGGTGAATTCCGCGCAGATCGACGCGAATCATGCAATGATTCATGAATTCGGCAAGCGCCCGCGGCGATTTGCGAAGCCGCGGTCGCGTAACGAGGTATCGCGAGTGTAAATTGTGGTCCGCGCGCGATGCGCAAATGATGCAAACCTAAAAGGTCACCCGGACCGTCTAGTACCTGAAGTCGCGCGCTGCTGGGGTGAAGTATTGTTGAAAATTATAATCGACAGTCGGTAGTTAATCATTACTAGCTGACAGTTATTAATGGTAATGCTTAGTTATCGCGGCTAAATAGTTGGATTCGATCGAGTGCGTGCGTGCGCGAGCAAGCGAAATGCAACGCGCGTTGTCTGAGCCGTTATAACTCGTCGTTTTTTGACGATTTGGCAAATGCACAACAATATCGGGAGGATGATTACGCGCCGCGCGCACACGCCGTCACGGTGCGCCCCGTCGAGCTCGCAATTAATTCGAGTAGTCCCATTGAATTATAGTAATTGCGAGCAACAAGTTAAAGTTCACGCACGTGCGTCCGCATGCGTTAGACTGTCGCGTGTCGTGGCCTTCTCTAAATATCGAGGTCGAAAGGCCCCTCGCTTTCCATCTTTGTAACCCGCAGACGTCCCGCGAGCGAATCCAACCGGCGATAGACATCTTTCCGAACGTTGTAATTATACAGTTATGCCCACACGTCGTTATTACGTAATTCATCGAACCCTCCCTCCCCAAGAATAAGTTGCGATCGTCGATAAGTCGTGCGCGCGAACAGCTTTATTAAATTTCCATTTACTAAAGAGAGTGCCGACATCCCAATTAGATCTCGCACTAGTTAATTATTACTCCTTAAAAAGTATAATCTCGTTTCTAGCGGAATCCTCTGATAAAGAGTAAGTCAATGACTATTGTTCCCTTTAATATGTCCAAAGCGATGAACAAAGGTGATCTTTAGATTTTCGAAGCTATTCTATTCTTAGAAAAAAAAACTCCTTACGGTTAAGCTATTTTCTAGAAAAATTAACTTCGAAGATCTTAAGATCACGATCGTTTTTCACCTCGAAGATATTTCAGGTGGTAATGTTTATTAACTCATTCTGATCTCAAGAGGATTATTCTAAGAAGAATATTCTAAGACAAGAAAAATATTCTATTGCCAAAAAAATCGAATTCTAATTGCAAGACACTATTTTTTAAAAACTTTTACAGAAAGTGTATTGCTCTTCTGATAAAATAAACTATTAACTGGGAAGAAATCTCTCCTAGATATTATTCTATATAAATATTTATACATTCTATAGAATATCTAGTATAATAACTAGAGTATTAAATATAATATTCTAAATATAATATATTTAATATAAGTATTAAACTAGATATTAAATTTTAATATATATTTTGGGTAAACTATTTTAATTGAAAATTTATAAGATATTCTTTGTTTCTCTTTTAGATTAAGAGCAATATGTTTATTTGAAGTAGAATGTTTTTTTACAAAAAAAAAATGAAGAACAAAATTTTTATTGTAAATATAAAAGATAAAACTTCTCTAATATAAAAAAATATTTTGCTTAGAATATTTTCTCTTTTGATTTTAAAAAGAATCGTCTTGAGGTCATATTTATAAGAGAATTCCGGTAAAGATAAGATTTCATTTTTGAGACGTGTTAATCATTCTCAAAGCGTCTGTCTCTTTCCAATCTCCCGTG